ATATATATATTATATATAAAAATACTATATTAAAATTTACTATTTGATCAATATATACAAAAGAGATATAAAAGTTCATAAAAACATAAACATAACAATTAATATACATGTCAGATGCCAATTTAAAAAATTAAAATATCAATAACATAATAATAACAATATACGGAATTATAATAATCCAAGAAATACAATGGAGAACATTTAAAAAATAATTTACATAATTTTTTTACAATATACATTTAAAGAATTTCATAAATATCATATCAAATCATCTAATTTTATCTAATTCTGTCATTTGTTATTTACTTATGAAATTATTCCGTAATCTTTGATTCAACATATGTATTTCATATTATTAATACTATTAATAATACTATTAATAATACAAATTCTGAAAACACTTCAATTCACTACGAATAATGTTGTCTCCGTTGTCTCCTTTGTCTACTTAGAAACTTTTGGTAGCTCGCCTTACATGTCAACGAAATGATCTTCCGTTAAAAAAAAAAAATATATACACTCTCAGGTTGTCTCTCTTATCTCTTCTTCTTTTCCCTCTCCTTCATGCGATATTATTACTTTCGATCATTCTCAGCCAATAACCCGTGAATCACACTATTTATTCGTTCAATCTAACACGGATGTGACGATAAACGATTTGCTGACTCGACAAAATAAAAGAAAACATGTGCGACGTTCAACAGCTGATTCTGAGAGATCTAGATTTCGCTCCATACGAATCGATTTAATGATTTAATGCAGCGAGATGCACGCGCATCTCTGTCTGTCAATTTTCATTCCCATCTAGAAAGCAACGCTTTCACGGCTCGCGACTGCGATGGGTGCACCGAATCACACTGGATTTGCACTTGTGTGAAAAAATGCTACGATTGTTTATCGAGCGCATTTTTAAACGTGAGTACATCCGTGAGTACGTCGCGGTTGATACGAATTATCGAATCGCCAATGAGAGTTTCAAACGGAATGTAAACACGTAATCTAATAATGTGGAAGAGTAGCCTTTTTCCTTCTCTTTTATTCCGAAGATCTTATCTTCTCTGAAATGCAAAGAGAATGGAATATAGCATAGTGCAATTGCACCAAGTGCATAAGAAATTGCATCTACAAGATGCGCTCGCGCAAGAAGGTTAGAATATTTCTATTTTTGATGAGTTTTGGAACACGACTATATATTTTTTTTTTTAAGTTCCTTATGGATTTAAATGTACAAACCAATCGTATTGAAGAATCTTAAAACAGTTGCAAAGCTGCTCTTTTTGCTGAACGCAGTTATTAACGACAAACGGAATAGAACATAAAAAAAAAAAAAAAAGAGAGAGAAAAACAATAATTGTCAAAATGATTGATAGTAAACAGAAATGTATAGAAATGGATTCGTCATGGATGGTCATTGCCGAATTCAAATTCTTGATTTTTTAAATCCATTTCCTCTCCTCTCGCGGACGTGCCACCCCTCTAGCTTGCCCCCAAGTTCGTGTTTCTTGAATACGAGGTTTAAAACCACGTTTATCGTTGAAATCATTGTATCGCGATACAGAATAACTAACGGAATTTAACTGATTCAACGGCCAATAGGAAGCTCGGATGCATATGCTTGTCCCCTTCCTCTTCCCCCGTCGTGACTGTTCTACTGCGCGAGTGGATGTGCAGTAGAATAACATCGTCAGAGGTCGGCCATTGTCGGGGACGATGCGAATTATTCTGATCGGAGTTTGAGGTGCAGGATAGATATTCATTTGTGCATTGAGTCGTACACGAGTTACCACGATGCATCCGACTTTGGGATTGAGTTCAAATGTACCGGCCTTCCTTGCCAAGCTTTGGAAGTTGGTCGAGGATCCGGACACCGACCACCTCATCTTCTGGTCACCCGTGAGTATACGCTTTATTTATCCGTTTATATTTACCTTTCATTCGCATAACTCCGAGCCGGATTATTTCGCGAGATCATACGAATGGTAAACACGTGGTGTCGATCGTTGAATTGCGCATTGTAGCCACTGTATGCTTTTTCCGGCCGCCTTGTCGGCGAGAGCAACAATCACGCCGCAACAACCGCGTCAATAAATGTGCGATTCGAACGATCATCGAACGTGCGACGTCGACGTCTTCTATGGGATGGGATGTTCACTTCTGATAACTCGGCTTTGATTATGTTTCAAATGCGATTAATATTTATGCATTCATGTATCGATTGTCACTCGACATTTGATATTACATCATTCATCATTTAAAAGACTGCTATTGGCAGTCTATAACTTTTTCTACCTTTAGAAAAAAGCTTCAATATACTTTAATATTTAAATAAGAAATACCACGTGAATGTGTAACGTAAATTCGGTTACTCACAATATATCAAATTAATGCATACTATAAGTTGCTATATATGAAATGTAAAAAATATATAAATATATAACATTTCAAACAACTATATAAATAGTCAACAATGAGTTTGTCTTATTATTTAATACAAAATGCACTAATGATTTTATTATCAAAGAAGTAATACTGTGCCATTGCATTTAATTATTTTATATAATAACCTTTAATGTATACTCCAGTGTAATAATCCAGTGTAGTATCCAAGATATAGATAACAGAATTCACTATTAATTTCTTAATTGTATTACTTAATAATATGCACTTAATAAAAAGTTATGTAAATGAATGTTGACTGAGGAATTTACTATTATATTAATTGTATTGTCAATTTAATTTTAATACACATAATTTAGGTATATATATCTATATATTAAAAAGTAATATGTGAAATATATTCATAAAGCTGTAATTTTATGGAACAAAGAAAAGTTAGCATATTATTCCCACTATACCGCAATGCAGAATAGCCTTAGGACCATCGCACAGACTTCTGCGCATAACGCATAAAAAAATGAACCAATTACTTTCATTTTCATTGTGAATATAGAAATGAAGGATTACGATTGGTTCTTTTTCTTATACATTATGCATTATGTGTTATGCAGAAGTGTATGCTCTCGACCTTACTTATTGCTTGTTTCCTTTTCACGAAGCGTATCTTCGCTAACTTTAGGCTGATATACACTGCTAATACTGAAAATCTATAATATATATCACATAAGCTATAGATTTTTAATACTGGCAGTATATCAGAACATGATATTAGAATATTATTTATATTTATGTATATATTTTATAATAAACATTGCAATTAATTTGAAGAAAGAATTAAAGGTATTATTTAAAGTATTATTTAAATAAATTATGTAATTAAATAAAATGATACACATTTTTATCCTATCGGCTCGATATGATATTCTATTAACTTTATAATTAATATATTAATATTTACATTTGCATTTTATTATTTTGTTTTTAATATATTTTGCTATAAGTTGATTTGGATTGAATTGTGAACGTGTTTTCGCCAGTTCGCTATATTTGTTGAAAATTAATGAAAAGAGAATAAAAACTAGTTTTTTTCGCTCGATCAAATTATATCTTGATGTATTTATTTAAAAAATGGAATAATATGTCAAGTTCATATCAGAGTACCGACTGTGGAGCCGACCCAAAAATCATGTTTTGCACTAGAGTCTAAACTTAAATTGATCAATCCAGTCAGTCGACATTTTTTGTGATTGGTCTATTAAAAATCAGTAGTCGGCAATTAAATCGCAGTTTTCACAGTTAATAAATCTGATACAGGCTTAGAGATTATAATGAATTATATTTTTGTTGAATTATATTATATTGAATGATTATATTTTTGTTGAATGACATATTTGTTTTAGAATGGGAAAAGCTTTTTCATTAGAGATCAAGCAAAGTTTGCGAGAGATTTGTTACCGCATTACTACAAACATAACAATATGGCCAGTTTTATACGACAGTTGAATATGTGTAAGTTTTTTTAACTTTTACATGATTCTAAGATATATATAATGAAACAGAATAATGGAGAGATTGAAAGACATTTACTAATGTTCCTTATATTTTAGATGGATTTCATAAGAAGGTATCTGTAGAACTGGGTGGCCTAAAATGTGATAAAGATGATATGGAGTTTGCACATCAGTACTTTATCAAAGATAGACCTTATTTAGTCGAGCATATTAAAAGAAAAGTATGTATTTGAAAATGTTTCATAGTATTAAAATTGCAGTTATATTCTGTTTCTTAAAAATCTAAAGTTAGAAATTGATTCTAAAAGATTTTAAGAATAATCCTGATTTTCTATATTAATGATTTATTTTCAAACACTTAATGATAACATTATTAATATCATATAAATTTAAAATAAATTCATAAAAGATGCAATTTTAAATACAAGCTCGAAATAGGAAAATTAAACTTTATTAATATTGTTACGTATGTAGTGATACATATGATATAGAATTATATTTTTTGTTAGATTGCTTCTAATAAAAATCAAGATTCTACACATTCGCCTATTAAATCAGATATAATGAACAAAGTGTTAAATGACGTAAGAAACATGAAAGATCGTCAAGAAGACATGGATAATAAATTAAGTGCAATGAAGCTTGAAAATGCAACATTATGGGGGCAGTTGGTAGCATTGAGGCAAAAACATTTAAAACAGCAACAAATTGTTAACAAACTTATTCACTTTCTTGTTACTCTTGTGCAACCATCAAGAGGTGGTTTATCTGTTAAGAGGCGATATCCACTAAATGATAGATGATTCAAGTTGTCCACATAAACAAAGCAAAATAATCTAAGGTAGTATGATTATTGCGCCTGTTATATTTTTTTATTGATCGTTTGTGTGTGTGTGTGTGTGTATGTGTGTGTGCGCGCGCGCGCGCGTGCGCGTGTGTGTGTGTGTGTGGTGTATGTATATATAACAAATATAATATATATTTTGTAGCCTCAAGCATCTCCTACAGGACCAGTAATTCATGAACTTGATGCATCAGACCTTGATGTCAATGCAGAGTACGTTGCTACTGAGTAAGTGCATAAATTTTATATTTATTTTTAAATTAGCAATTTAAATTTTTGTAATAAAAATTTCTTTCTTTTATTTCAATTTAAATTTAAAAATATATATTTAATATTTTTATATGTGTAATATGTATTATTATAAACATTGAGATTTATATCTTAATAATTATTTATTTTAGTATATTAGAAAGTGAAACTCCAAATGTTCAAAGTCCACAGGAACAATATGAAATAGATGATGAAAAGATGGAAACTGTTCATTTAATTAAAGATTCTATTCAAAATCCTGAGATTGATAAAAATAAAAAATATATTATCAAAGGCAAAAAGAAGTAAGTTTGATTCATATTTTTGTATTAAATTTTTAATGAATATGTGCATATATTAATTTTTAAAAGAATATATATATTTTAATAACAAATAACAGACAATTTATGATGGAATATTATGATATATATTAGCATATAGTATTAGCAGAAAATTAACATGATGTCACTCTACATGAAATTTCAGAATAATTTAGAAAAAGAAATTAAAATGAAATATCTCAACATTTTTATGTCATATACTGTAAATAAAAATAAAAATTATTGATTTAATTACTAATATTATTGAATATTAAGATTTTTATTTAGAAAAAATTATCTTTCTAAAAATGTTTACAAAAAGAAAGAAAAGATGTTAATTAATAGCAATATTAAATGCAGAGAATGGAAATTTATCATGATAATTTCTATATATACTTAAAAAATAGAATTCAAGTTGCTAATTTATTTAAATTAATATTTTTATTAATATTTTTATTAATAACAATTAGTTACATTTATAAGCAATTATTTAGCAATATTATTTGAAAATCCTGTTAATTATATTTATCCAAATACTATTTAAATATTACCAGGAGAAAAGACAAGGTGCCTATCAGAATTTCAATACCACCATTGGAAAATGGAGAAAAACCAAGGTTAACTTAATTTTTGTCTTGTTATTTGGTATCGGTGTTCTAAAATTTTCCTGTAGTTATATTGTTATGTTAGCGTTACTATTCTATTTCTCTGCATGAATTAAATTTATGTGATTATATTGCAGAAATATGATCGAACTTATATAATACACACACACACACACACACACACACACACACACACACACACACACACACATATTACATT